CTAATGTTTTGTATTTTTAGTAGAGGTGGGGTTTCACCATGTTGACCAGGATGGTCTCGATCTCTTGACCTTGTGATCCACCCGCCTGGGCCTCCCACCCATTAAGTCTTTACATGTCAACAGAAATTCAAGGAACGCTGGTCGGAAGTTAGAGCTGGGCACTAGCAGCGCTTTGAAACTGAACAGCTGTGTGATTTCAGAGATTATGTTTCTTCTCTACTATGTTTTAGTTCCGAACTTGTAATGTTTTTCTCTCCAAGCCTTTCTTCTTGGTGGGAAAAGCACGATTTGGGGTCAACAGATCCGGCTCAGGTCTAAGTCGCCTGCGAGGACTCCATCTCCGGGAAATGCTGTCTCTCCGCTACCTTCCCTCCCCGTCCCGTCACTCTTCCAACGACCCCGGCACACCTCCCATAAATGCGAAATATGCCGATTCTCTGGAGCAAAGATGAGCCGGAGGACCGGGGAACGACCTTCCCACCCGCATGACTGGCAAGCCTCCCAGTGCCCAAGACCCAGGGACCTTACCGACACCTACCACAGCCACGCACTGAATCAAATCACAATCTCAACTCCCTAAAGTCCGCAAGGAAACCACTGGAAACGGAAATTCACCATCGCGCTGACTCGCCGGAGGGAAACAAGAAGGCAGAAAAAAGAAACCGGCAGGGGGACGACTTTCAGTGGAGAGCCGGAAGAACGAGTTGTGAACAGCTGAGTGTACGCGCAGGCGCCGTCCACGCAGTGCGGACCAAAGAGTCTGCGCCGCTTCCGATTCCGCCCCCTCTCACCTTTGGAATCCGCTGCTTCAGTTCCCGCGGTGGGACTCCCCAGCAGCGTGAATCGCGCTCACAGGAGTCCTCCCGGAAGGCCAGGGCGGCTGTGCGACCTGGCGCCGGTAACTTGCTGTGTTACAAAAGCCGGAAGGAGGCACATTTGGTCCTGGCCTCCGCGGGGTCGCCGTGCCGGGGAGGAATGGACTATCGCTCGATTGGGAGTCCACTTCCTCCTCTTTAAAGATGACAGATGAGGGACATCTCGAGTACCGGTGTGCCCTAAAGCTTTCTTTTGGCCGGGTGCGGTGGCTCACACCTGTAATCCCCGCACTTTGGGAGACCGAGGCAGGAGGATAGCTTGAGCCTAGGAGTTCAAGACCAGCGTGGGCAACATAGGGAGACCCCTTCTCGAGGTTGAGGGGCGGGCGGAGGGGGAAATTAGCCGGCGTCGTGGCTGGCGCCTGTAGTCCCAGCTGCTCGAGGCTGAGGCAGTAGGATCGCTTGAGCCCTGGAGGCGGAGGTTGCAAGTGAGCTGAGATTGAGCCACTGCACTCCAGCCTGGGCCAGAGAGCGAGACACTATTTCAAAGAAAAATAAATAAAATAAGGTCCTCTTTTGCCAGGACCAACAGACTCTGAGGACAGGGACAAACTGACCCAGCCTAAACTGCCTTGCCTTCAGTGCTCCTGGGAAGGGGGCTTCCCTGAGGGAATGTAGCATGTGGCCATTTTCTTCCTGCACAGCTTTGCCTTCCCAGGTCTCTGTCCATTCCCACCTGAGGAAATGCGTTGGAGTCCGTCTGACCTCCAGCCCAGCTACTTGGAATGCCTACAGAGCATACATTGTCAGAGGATGCATCTTCCTCTAATCTTGGTGGGTTTCTTTTAAATATGATTCCACTGGTGTACTCAAGGCTCAATTCTACACCAAAAAACCAGGCCACTCCTGTCACTGAGGCCCCTAGGCTTCAGGTCCTCTTACAGGGACCTTGTTCTCAAAACCCCCATGTATTCACTCTGCATACACTATATACTGGGTGTTGGACTAGGGAGGCAACCCATATGGTGCAAACTTCCCTTATCCATGAAGAGCCTAGGATGTTGTCACTTCTTTACACTAGGCCTCCTACTTCTTGGATATTTCAGTATCCGGGAAGATAATCATTCTAACATCCTTTTGGTCTCACAAAGTCCACTCTTGTCTTCTGCCCTACCTCAGCTTCCCCTTTCCCCCGTGATCAGACCTTAGACCTTGTCAGGTCCACAGACTGCAACCTCCACAGTATCCCACTCTGACCACCGCCTCCTGGCTATTCAGGTTACTCCGTACACTGCCCTGAAACAAAACACCTGCAACCTTACCAGCACCTCCAATCCACATCTTACTACTCGTTCACTGTTTATTTCTTCCTTAATTACTTTTCCCTCTCTAGTGAGCCAGCTTAAACTCCATGGTCAATCATTCTCATTAGTCCCTTGAACACCTCAGTTCACCCACCTCCCTGTCACCTCCTATCTGCTTGGTAAATGGAAGCCCTGGATAAACCCGGCTCTCCATCTATTCCATGCTACAACCATACAACTAAACATGGCTGGAGAAAAACAGGACCATGCCAGAGTAATCCTGGTCTATTCAATCTTCCATTTTTCCAAATGAGTATTTTACACTTGCTCCTCTCTGTTCAATCCTTCCCACTGCCTCCCCCTTCCTTGCCTCCTACTTTTAAGAGAATAGCAGTGGTAAAAGTCTTACACAGACTCCCACCTCCACCTCCAATCATCTGTTTCCTCTTGCCTGCCTGTGACTGTGGATGAACCACTGCTTTGTCTACCCAAAGAATCCTGCACTGGTCTGCTGAATTCCATCATCCCTTACTGCTCCAGGGTGTCACTCCAGCCATTCTATCCTCTCTCCACCATCATTACTATTTCCCTTCTACTGGTCTCTTCTCATCATCACACAACATGCAGCTATTTCTCTCATCTTCAAAACAAACAAATTAGTCTTGACTCTATCTCCTATACCAGAACCTGCACCTTTTCTCCACTCCCCTTTGTGGCAAAACTTCACAAAAGAATGGTCAATACATACTCTGGCTCCACTCCTCCTGTTCTCTCTTTGATTCGCTTGTCTCACAGTACTCCACCTGCAGCCCTGGATGTTCTTTCTCAGCTGCCTTTGCTGGTTCCCCTGCTCTTGCCTGACCTATTTAAATTAGAGCGAGGCCATAGGTTCAGCCTTCAGTTTTCCTTTTCTTCTGTGTCTATACTTAGTCCATGAATTACCTCATTCTGTCTCAGTTTTACATGCCATCTGTATCAGTTATTGATATGCCATGGATCTGTCCCCTCCCAAATTTTGTGTCAAATTGTAATCCCCAATATTGGAGGTGGGGCCTGGTAGGAGGTGATTGGATCATGGGATCAGAGACTTCATGAATGGTTTAGCACCAGTCATCTAGTGCTGTCATCATGATAGAGTTCTCACAAGATCTGGTTTTTTAAAAGTGTGTAGCACCTCCCCGTGCTCTCTCTTCCTCCTGCCCCAGCCATGTAAGACATGGGGGTCAATGAGCTGCAGTTTCTTCTGCCTTCAATCTAGAAAGCCTGATGGAATGATCAAGGTGCCCTGGAAAGATTTTGAGTTTGAAGAGGCAATCCTCTCCAGGAACTCAAGGAAAATTCTGTGTTTTGTTTAAAGAGTAAGAAGCTGCTGGGTGTGGCAGCTCACACCTGTAATTGCTGTGTTTTGGGAGCTAGAGGCAGGAGGATCACTAGAGGGCAAGAGTTAGCGGCCAGTCTGGGCAACACAGTGAGACAAAAAAAGCATGAAGACCCCTCTCTTTATCCCTACTTGANTTAAACTCCGTGGCCAATCATTCTCATTAGTCCCTTGAACATCTCAATTCACCCACCTCCCTGTCACCTCCTATCTGCTTGGTAAGATGGAAGCCCTGGATAAACCCGGCTCTCCATGCATTCCATGCCACAACCATACAACTAAACATGGCTGGAGGAAAACAGGACCGTGCCAGCAGTCTTCACTTTAATCATACTTTGCCTGTTCTATTCCATCTCTCGTTCTTCCAAGTGAGTATTTCGCACTTCCTCCTCTCTGTTCAATCTTTCCCACTGCCTCCCATTTCCTTGCCTCCTGCTTTGCTAAGAGAATAGAAGTGGTAAAAGTCTTCCACAAACTCCCACGTCCATCTCCACCCATCTGCCTCCTACTGCCTGCCTGTGACTGTGGATGAACCACTGCAGTGTCTACCCAAAGAATGCTGGACTGGACTGCTGAATTCCATCATCTCTTACTGCTCCAGCATGTCACTCCAGCCATCCTATCCTCTCTCCACCGTCATTACTATTTCCCTTTCTTCTGGTCTCTTCTCATCATCACACAACATGCAGCTATTCCTCTCATCTTCAAAACAAGCAAATTAGTCTTGACCATATTTCCTATACCAGGACCCGCACCTTTTCTCCACTCCCCTTTGTGGCAAAACTTCACAAAAGAATGGTCAATACATACTCTGGCCCCACTCCTCCTGTTCTCTCTTTGATTCGCTTGTCTCACAGTACTCCACCTGCAGCTCTGAATGTTCTTTCTCAGCTGCCTTTGCTGGTTCCCCTGCTCTTACCTGACCTATTTAAATTAGAGCGAGGCCATAGGTTCAGCCTTCAGTTTTCCTTTTCTTCTGTGTCTATACTTAGTCCCTGAATGACCTCATTCTGTCTCAGTTTTACATGCCATCTGTACCAGTTATTCATGTGCTATAGGTCTGTCCCCGCCCAAATTTTGTGTCGAATTGTAATCCCCAATATTGGAGGTGGGGCCTGGTAGGAGGTGATTGGATCATGGGAGCAGAGTGTTCATGAACGGTTTAGCACCATTCCTCTAGTGCTGTCATCATGATAGAGTTCTCACAGGATCTGGTTTTTTAAAAGTGTGTAGCACCTCCCTGCGTGCTCTCTTCCTCCTGCTCCAGCCATGTAAGACATAGGGGTCAATGAGTTGCAGTTTCTTCTGCCTCCAATCTAGAAAGCCTGATGGAATGATCAAGGTGTCCTGGAAAGATTTGGAGTTCGAAGAGACAATCCCCTTCAGGAACTCAAGGAGAATTTTGTGTGTTGTTTAAAGAGTAAGAAGCTGCTGGGTGTGGCAGCTCACACCTGTAATTTCTGTGCTTTGGGAGCTAGAGGCAGGAGGATCACTTGAGGGCAAGAATTTGAGACCAGTCTGGGCAACACAGTGAGACAACAAAAGCATGAAGACTCCTCTCTTTATCCCTGCTTGAGAGATGTAACTACAAGGCAGAAAGCTAGCTGTCAAGGGGGAGTCTTGCTCTTCATCAGGCAGAGGCAGGGGCTGCTTCCTGGGGCAGAGGTGTGGATGGTATTTCTGGCTTTGTAGTTCCGGATGAAGACATATGGGGGCACCCAGGCTAACCTTTGGCAAAACTAGGAGCTGAATTCAGGTGTCCCTGATGCCAGCCTCTGGTATGGTCCCCCTCTTCTCCGCCATGTGTCTCGCCCTCTAGCTCCCTCCCCACCAGCTCCAGCTGGCTGGCAGAGGATGTCTTGCTCCTCAGAAACTGGGATTTGTAAGTATTTATAGGAATGTGGAACAAATCAGTGGCTGATAGGCCTAGGGAGCGGCAGCAGCTTCACTTCCCTTTCACACACCCCTTCCTGATTTGAGGGAGCCCAGGATGACAGAGGGAGTAGTCAAGCAAGGTATGGGGTGGCAGCCTCCACAGGAGCTCAAAGGGTGCATTTGTCCATCTGCCCTGGGCTCAGCTTCCATGCCGAGAGTCACCCACATCCCTCCACCCTCACCACAGCTCATCTGTGTGCCCACACAGCCAAGGCCACACTGACCCCAAACACAGTCTTTCAACTCTCAGCACTTCACTATCACACTCACTTGTGTGCACACATG